ACAACAACTTGTCACGTGGTATAATGTACTGACTTTACCAACAACAATATGTCACGTGGTATAACGCACTTACCTAACCAACAAAAAAATGTCACGTGGTATAATGTACTCGCATAACAAACAACAAAATAGCACATGGTATTATTTACTAGCCTAACCAATTACAACTTTTCACGTGGTATAATGTATTGACATTACAAATAACAATATGTCACATTGTATAATGTTTTAACCTTACCAACAACAATATGTCACATTGTATGATGTACTGACCTAACCAACAGCAAAACATTTATTGTCAGTTGGCATACTGTCCGAATCCGACCAAAAAATTGTTAGCTACGTGGCACACTGACCTAACAAACAACAATATATCACGTGGTAAAATATACGGAACCAACAAACAACAATATATTGTCATGTGACATACTGTAGGACGCCGACCGCAAACAACATGCCACGTACCACAGTGTCCATTTGTCACGTCGAACCGGTCGGCCACATAAACACGGGTTACCCCTGCAGACACAGTACAAGTGTCTCAGCAAAAATAACCAATTTCTCACGAAAGTCTATACGGAGGCGAACCCACAATCACAGTAGGCCTTACATCATACTTTAAACTCTAGAAGTAAACATTAGGAAACACTTCACAATTCCTCACGGACGATCGATAATCGTGGTAGGCGTAAGCTTGGTTCCATATAAATATACTGTTGTTTATCCTGCGTTTCAGCATTATTAAAATAATTGAGACTGAAGAGCAGTGATGCTTTAATCGCGTCACTCCCAGCTAATTTGAATAAGGTGGTAGCGATTTGCATTAAATGCATGTAGTTTAATATGAATTTTATGTTAAAGTTATAATCTGTACTGTAGCATCGGTAAAACGAACTGGTGACAAAATAACAACAGTATTTGTATCTTCTCTATTTTGTTAACCTATATCTACAGTTCAACAACGTCCATTTTTGTGATATGGTTTTCAGCATTTCAAACTGTCTGATTGGATCTTTGGTTTATGTACGATGTGTCTTACTAGGTACCCTATTCGGAGGTATGTCATCCAATCTTTAAGGAAGTCCCCCCAGTGTATGCAGGCTTGCATATGATATTCTCCTGTCATCTGTGAGATGAAGTTTGCTTTTTGTTATACGGACTTAACGAAGGTCTGAATTAACAAAATTAACGTTACCAGGCAGTACTTCAGTGTGTTTTGACACTCATTATTTAATTTGATATACAATTATAGCATTTTTAAGTCAATGTGCAATTTACGACAAGATAAATGAAAAGATATTTACTGATAGGTTTCAGACATCTCTAATTATTATATAGGACATTAAACGTTTGCCCATTTGGCAAAATTCAAGCGACCGGTCAAGGAGGGGATTAAAAACAAATCTACTGGACAAAATGTGATCGGTAGACATAGCTATTCTGTATAGGACAAGGTGTGTGGTCAGTAGACAACACTAGGCTGTATAGGACAGGTGTGTGGTTGGTAGACAAAGCTAGGCTGTATATAGGACGATAGGTGTGGTCAGTAGACAAAGCAAGGCTGTATAGGACAGGTGTGTGGTCAGTAGACAAAACAATGCTGTATTGGACAGGTGTGTGGTTGGTAGACAACACTAAACTGTATAGGACGATGGGTGTGGTCAGTGGACAACACTAGACTGTATAGGACAGGTGTGTGGTCGGTAGACATAGCTATTATGTATAGGCCGAAATGTGTGGTCAGTAGACAAAGCAATGCTGTATAGGACGATGGGTGTGGTCAGTAGACAACACTAGACTGTATAGGACAGGTGTGTGGTCAGTAGACAAAGCAATGCTGTATAGGCCGAGGTGCGTGGTCAGTAGACAAAACTAGGCTGTATATAGGACGAGGTGCGTGGTCAGTAGACAAAACTAGACTGTATATAGGACGATGGGTGTGGTCAGTAGACAAAATTAGACTGTATAGGACAGGTGTGTGGTTGGTAGACAAAACTAGACTGTATAGGACAGGTGTGTGGTCGGTAGACAAAACTAGGCTGTATATAGGACAGGTGTGTGGTCGGTAGACAAAACTAGACTGTATAGGACAGGGGTGTGGTTGGTAGACAAAACTAGACTGTATAGGCCAGGTGTGTGGTCGGTAGACAAAACTAGGCTGTATATAGGACGAGGTGTGTGGTCAGTAGACAAAGCAATGCTGTATAGGCCGAGGTGCGTGGTCAGTAGACAAAACTAGACTGTATAGGACAGGTGTGTGGTCGGTAGACAAAGCTAGGCTGTATAGGACAGGTGTGTGGTCGGTAGACAAAACTAGACTGTATAGCACGAGGTGTTTGGTCACTAGACAAAGTAAGGCTGTAAAAGACGAAGTGTGTGGTCGACAGACAGAGCAAGGCTGTATAGGACAAGGTGTGTGGTCAGTAGACAAAGCTAGGCTGTGTAGGACTATAGGTGTGTGGTCGGTAGACAAAGAAAAGTTGTATATGCCGAGGTGTGTGGTCGGCAGACATAGCTATTCTGTATAGGACGAGGTATGTGGTAAGTAGACAAAGCCGCGCCGTACAGGACGATATGTTTGGCTGGTAGACAAAGCTTTTGTATGCTGTATTGGATAAATCGTGTGTTGACGGTAGACAAAGTAAGTTTGTTGTTCTGTGTGAGATTTGAAGTCGACAGAAAGAAATTTTGCGGCAAAAGATTAGCTTTTGGAACAGACGAAAAAGTATATAGTCTTGGTATAGGACGAGTTTTCGCGTATGTAGACAAAGCTAGGCGGTAAATAACGATACTTTGAGCAGGCAGACTAAACTTCGTTTTATGATGAGGTGTGTGGTTGGTAGAAAACTGTAGGCATAGGCACATCCAGGGTTTATATATGAGACCTACTACGATCGATAAGATACGTCTCGGTTCTATAGGTATCTATCTACTCATCACATACATACCAACCATTGCACGATTCTTAGCTTATTCGTGAACAGTGCCCTGTGGGACTCAGGTATTCATATTCAAAAGCGGACGTTCTTGAAACCATCCAATGATAACACGAATCGTTTTCATTAAGTGGCTTACTGACGTAATAGTAAACCCCTTTGCATCGCCTGTTTACCACAGAAGATGTTAGGGAGGGTAGGGCCATTGACAGATTTGTATAGTGATCGACTGCGTCTGAAAGCCTTTTAACCAGGAGGATGGATATAATGAATTCCCTGTACTGTCTCTCCTTTACTGATCTGCGTTGTTCACGCCACCCCAGCTACCTACAACGCCATAAGCTGACGTTATAAAGTGCAAGATTTATCTATACTTTAAAACTGTCACTTTCATACAACGTACAATAAAACATCGTCATACGACTACCTATCTTTTTTATTTGTCATCTCGCTAACTGCTTACATATTTCGAAGCTTTCTAAACAATTTCGCTGTAAGTCTTCCTTTATATATCGCCAACCCTTTATAACGCCAACATTTTACTGGAGCTTATAAATGTACCTTTTCCTTATGCCAAACGTGTCAGCCAAAGACTTGGTATGTATGTGAAGACAGAGTTTATTGACTGTGTTTATTAAGTATGGACGTTTCCTGAGGCGAATATGTTGTTATGTGAACCCGAGAAAGAAACATATAATAACCCAAGACGAAGTCCAGATCTATGTCACTTTTCAGATCTATATAATCACAAACATGTATGCATCGAAATAGAAGTCCTTAATTGTTATATTACATTTGAAATGCCTAATTTTGTCATTACGCAAGGTGTAAGATAAGAAAAACGTCAAGGGAAAAGTGTTGCAGTTAGCAAAAGCGTGACGATGTTACAGCAGAAGTGACCTCAAAAGAGAAAGGTGAACCTGCTATTTCTATATTTGTAATAGCATTTTACATGTACTACATTTTTGTATGTCTTGGGCAGTCATATTTCAATGAGTATGCTAGAGGCTATCTTGTTCAAACTAGTTCTTATGAACCATAGAATCAAAAGCTTATAAAATTATATATCTAAAATTATGTTAAGAATTTAATTAATTAGTAATCTCCGATAAGCCAAGGAACTGGTGTTAAACATTTTGCTTTGCCTAAGTGTATTTTCAAATTCCGGGAATGACTTTCCAGCTGAGGAATCTCAGCAGACGAGTGTACTAAAAGGCAAATTGGCGGAAAAGAATCTTTGTCTCTTAATGTTTTCCTTTGAATCCATCATTTCACGATAAGCTATACATAAAGGGTCCCTGGCAAATATCATCCCATATATATTAAGGAAACGAGATATAGCCAGTTATTATAGGTTAGATATAGAATGGCAATGCATTGGAGATTCTTTTTACTAATATTTCAATTAAATATTCGTGAATTTGTGACGTAATCGTATTGTGCTCTGTATGACGTCACAAAGGGAGACATTACAAAAGTTTATATAAAAAATGTGATGTGATAGCATTAACACAATACAAGTTTAAAGACACCTTGATATTGACAGCCAAGATAAATCACAATTATTTTCGATCAAAAGAATTTCTGTAATAGCAAATACATATATCCGTTAAGTGTATGATAATTGTATATATATATATTTATTTTTTGGAGAATTTAGAAGAAAGGGTTACGTTTGCCATCAATTTCCTGACAAGGTTTTAAGCTCACCAAGTTTTGAACAGAGGTAAATCCAGTTAGAATATGTCTGTTTAACTGTGATCTATAATCCCATCAGTGCACTTGTCTGTCGACAATGATCATCGTTGTTAGTGTAAATCCAGGGAATAATCACTAATACGGCGTGTCTTCCTTACTTCCATGTCGGCCATTAATTGTTGCTCAAAACCTGGTCATTTCAAAACCTTGTATATCAGAATACGACAACCATAATTTATCTCCATATTTCTCAGAAAAGCCAAAAAAATGTGCGTGTTTCATATTTGTAGTCTTGGCATCCACTTACATAATTTTTCATTTACAACATAAAATCATACAAGAATGCTGATAAAAAGGGGAACTTACTCTGGGTAGTGTTTCACTTCCTTTAACCGTGTCTGTAGAATTGCGCATGTCCGGTAATCGGACGTGTCTACGGCCCGGCGTCTCATCGGCGGACGCCTCGGCGAGTACTCGTCCCTTTCTGACAGTTGTTCTAGAGGTGAAAACATGGACGGCGAGGTAGCCGAGGCAGCGAGGGACGCACGGCGGCGCTGCGACATGTGTCGACTTCCGGTAGCCCCAATCATGGTGCGAGATTTGTACCGTAGCCGGGAGTTAGCTGTTAAAGATAAAACAAGAAGAGATTGAACAATTTAGTTTACATAATAATGTTTTTATATAGTTTGTTATTTTAATAACAAAGTGTACACCATAAGTGCTTATTGCACACAACATGCAGTTAACATGGTAAAGACGGTAAAGGGTTGGCGGCCATTAATGTACCACAAATATTATACATGTATTTATTAGCATCTGGGAGTAGTTTTTAATCTAAGCGCAAAGTAGGGGGGGGGGGGGGGGGGGGGTCATATTAATGCCATTTATAGTTTAGCTATGAAGAAAATTAACGTCTTACGGAGATTGAAATATTTGCTAATTAGGAATAGTCTTTTAAAAATTTATAAATCATTCATTTTGCCATTTTTAGAATATGTTTGTGGATTATGGGATGGTTGTACTACATTTGAATAAGAAAAATCAGAGAAAGCCCAAAGAGAAGCTGCTCGAATTATATCCGGTCTTCCTTCATATGCCCGTATCGAAGATTTACATTTTGAACAGGTTTAGAAACTCTTTCTAATCGTCGAAAACGTAGAAAACTCTAACTTTTATACAAAATGCAAAACAACTTAATTCCAGATTATTCAAACGATCTCCTGCCACCTACTATTGCAGAAAATAACAGGTACACTCTTAGAAATAACAGTGATTATAGAGTTCCTCTATTTTGGCTTTCTCTTACAAATCTTTCCTTTATACATTGTTCCTTCCACTCTTCGTAGCTGGAAATCGATAGATCTATCAGTACGATCGTTGCCTTCTATACATTTATTTAAAAACTCTCTTACATGTACCTCAAATGTACAACCATCCCCCTCCTATCTACTTCAGTTTAGGAGAACGTAAATTAAATATTATACATACTAAATTGATGCACAATTGTAGTTCCCTTAAGTATGACCTTTACAGAGTTAATCTTGTCGAGAGTCCATTTTGCATCTGTGGACATCCATGTAAGAATGCCTTTCACTTTTTCTTTGAGTGTCAACGTTTCAGCAATGAAAGGTGTATTTTGTTTCAAAATTTGAATGCCTAAGGTATAGATTTAAATTTAGAGATTCTTTTGTTTGGCAATCCAGACCTTTCGGTAGACCTTAACTCTTACGTTTTTAGACATGTGCATCACTTCATCAAATCAAGCAATAGATTTTGAACGGTATTTTTTTAAAGTTGTGTATATATATCAATCTGATTAAAATCATCTGTTACATGGCTCCGCCGGAGCCATGTAACAGATGATTTTAATCAGATTGTATGTATATCTACTTCATGTTTATGCCTATTATTATTGTTGACATGTAATTGTAAATGTATGACGGGAGAAGGCTGTGATAAGTTGTTATAACTTGTGCCCAATCCCTTGTTCAGTTTTATTGGCAATAAATATATTCAAAGTAATGTATTACCCTCACAAAACTGAAATTTAAAATTTAAATTTGTAACGTACATCTGTAGGTTTATTTTCATTTTTTTGGGCGTTCTTTATACTGTAATAGACGAATATAAGGCTGATCCTTACATAAAGCCAGATGTAGCGAAAAATCATATGTTTTAATAGATAATTAAAGTTGTATTAAAGTTGAATAGAATCGATGTAGTGCATGAACCAGATGACGTTTAATATGCTTACTAAATCTAAATATGAAAATGAAATACAATAACACGTTCTTTGTTTTGACGCCATATTGAAAATGTACAAAACTGATAACAATCATAAAAACCGTTAAAAACCCGATGAATCCAGAAAGCGTTTTGAATGACTGCATTGTTTTGAAATATTAATGGGCAACGCTAATTAAAATTTGTTTGATGAATTACAAAGGATATTTTTTTGCAGAAACTGTAAACAGGAGGAGAGATTTTATAAGATATCGAAGCAAAGTAATTGTTTTTGCATTATAACTCCTGATTCAGACACAGCTTGTTAAATACAAAAATGTAGATTATTTCATTTCTGTTTTCATTTCCGTCGGATTTACTTCAAATCATCATGGCTAACTTACAGATGTGTATGTGTGTGTGTGTGCTTAGAGAGAATCTGTTTCCCTATTATAATACGTTCAAATACATGTATCATTACCTAATTAATTATAATCTTTCATTGTTATGAATGAATTATTTTGTCCTTTATGTTACTGAGTTATTTTACATGTTTCTTAGCACGGAACTTTTTTGGAAAGGAGATACAAAATCACATCAATACAGCATAACTCCTTAAGGTAATTTAATATTTACTATTATTAACTTTATTTACGCCTGTACTTAATTTTGTGGGTTATGCCTGTGTGCTCTATTTTTTTACACTTGAATTCGTGATTGAGCGGATCGGATGTTCATTTCAGTGTTGGTAGTTCATTTCATTGGAAGTCTTATTCTAAAGAGTTCAATTTGCGAATGGGTCTCAAATCAAAATACAACGTAATGCGAAAACTAATTTCTCGCGAAAAGAACATGAATTGCAGTATAAGCAACAATTGAGCTATTTTGAATGTATGGATATCGTAAAGAATCTGCACAACAAAGAAAATATTATCCGACAAAACGTCATATTGTCACGATACATGTAACGCAGATGTTTAATTTCCAACCAGCTACAAGCTGGTGCATAACAAATTAATTCGATATATTTATCTATCGATTCCTCTGAAATAAATAAACAGGCGAACAGCTGTAACGAGTTTAGGATTAGTTAATTTAGTTTAGCACTTAACTTAGTTCACTTGTAACGTACGCAGACATGCACAGCATTTTGCACTAGTTTCCGGAGAAACCTCTTTCTCTGACCATGTGTAACATTGTTGTAACCATGTAATGGTTATTTAGGGTATAATTAACCCTTACTGTACATTATTCCTATTTTACGTCCAGGCCAATATTCGTGTAGGATCTCGCGTGATGTTCACCTACTACTCCCAAGGCAATGGGGTCCCGCTATACAGATCTGGGTAACGGCCAAAACTCAGGCCGCGCGGCAACGGCAGACAGAATTGTTGTGAGGGGTCGGGGATGAGCATGGG